ATATATCAATGAAGAACAGAAAAATTTGCTGATTGGTAAGTAATTTGCTTTTAATTTGTATCTACATCTTGACAGATTTTACTTCAGACTAGCAGATAAGTTTTTCTTAATAAAATAAGTAATAAATATCTAACAAACTAATAGTAACTGTTATTGATTTTTCAATACAGTGATCTATAATATGTATTTGATATTATATATTGCAGAATATATGCGTAAACATCCAGAGCTACAGAGTGGAAAGTTTTCTGCAACGTTTACTTTTAAACATACTCAAAAATTATGGGAAGAAATAACAACGGAACTGCATCAAATACCTGGTGCAGTAAAAGACTGGAAACAATGGCGAAAGGTATGTATTATATTGGCAGTTTAAATTATTTATACAAAGGAAAAAATTTATACTTTAGATATCTGATAATCTATTATCTGTCTACATCATAGACTTGGCAAGACATGCGAAGTTCCACTAAAGCCAAAAGTGCTTCAATCAAGAACCATGCGAAACAAACTGGCGGAGGACCTGTATCAAGTCAGGTTTTAACCGAAATAGATCAAAATGTCCTGGCACTCATAGGTTCAACAGTAGTAGAAGGACATAAGATGGTGCAGGAATCAAATGTGCAATTTGTAAACAATTTTTCGTATTGCATTATAATATTTCTATTTCTTTGAGTCTATCTTTCTTATGGTTAGACATCAATGACGGCGAGTGTATAATTGGCATTCTTTTGCAGAATTGGTCTGACGATTTACATATATATGACGTAAGTAATAGCGAAGAAGGAGAAAGTTATCCTACAAATAACAATCAAGAGATAACGCATTCTGTGCCACTGTCTCCTCAAAATGATCAATGCCAATTAGAAACGCCAATCACTGCAACTGTCAACAATACATCACACATTCCTGTAACGCCAACTTCAAACTCGGTTTCCATAAAAAAAGGTGTTAAAAGAACTGCTGCGCAAAGATATGACAAATCAATAGAACAAACTGAAAAGTTAGCTGAAATTTCGCAGGAAGATAGCAAGATGCGAAAATCGTATTACGCAGAAAAATTAAAACTTTATAAGATGGAATTAGCTCTGAAAGAAAGAGATGTCATTGCCAAAGAAAATATATGCACATTGCTGGAGCAACTGACGAAAAAAGACATTTAACGACTGATACATGAATGTTTATAAGTAAGTCGAAGTTCCTATAGCTATGTTCATATAAATTTTAATTTTTTTTATATAGATATTTATTGTTAAAGATAAGAGATTGTTTATGTTCAAACTTTGTTACCTGATAACTTTGACTAGAATTATAAGTGTAATCTATGACGAAATTTTTTTTTATTTTTTGTTAAAAAAAGATTGTTTACTAAGAGATAGAGACTTGTTCGAACTTCGTTGTACGGTGAGAGAACAAAAATAATAATTATAAGCATTATCAGTATTTTATGTTGATTCGTTTCTTTTAAAGTATATTTATTGTATTAACTATTGTTTTCAAGTACATTAAAGAAGGGAAAAGAACAAAGTTTACTATACATAAGTAAGAAAGTATTATTATGTTATCAATTGCCAAAGTTGTTACATACATATCATACGAATATATATGTACACATATGTACAAAAATATACAATATTAAATAAAAGTGATGTTAAAAAAGTATATTGTTATGAGAAGTATTGTCTTATTAAATTATTGCGGATTCTTCGTCCAGCTGTCAGTTCGTGATTTCTATTTGCTAGATCTATTCCCGGATCGTTTATATCATCTATACCGAAGTCTAATACTTCATCTCGTGCTTCAGGTATAGGTATAGGCACGTTGTCGTGAATGCACATATTATGCAATACTGTACAGGCATTGATAATTTTCGAGCACACATCTGGCTGGTAATGTAAAACCCTATGTTTTAACAGACAACGAAATCTCATCTTCAGAAGATCATTGCAACGTTCAATAATTGACCTAGTACTTTTTTGCCGCTCATTGTATCTTCTCGTTGCCATATTAAGTTCATTGTCAATTATTGGCGTCATCATCCAAGGCCTAAGCGCGTAACCAGAGTCACCTGTAAGTAAAGCAATATTTAATAATAATATTCAATTGGCTGCACTTTTTAACAATCCTAACTTTGGAGATTACATATTACCTAATAAGAAAAATCTATGTTTACGATTATAAATATCTTGCATTATAGGAAGAACATTACTATTATTCCAGATATATGAATCATGAGTGCTTCCTGGATATCGGGCATTAACGTTCATTATTCTAAGATCAGAATCACATATCTGCAAATAAAGCTGTAGTTATATTGTTTATATAAATGTTTATTTAAATGTCTTAAACCGGTATTCATAGTCAGATCTTATATTTAAGACTGTGTGAAGTTTCAAGACGATCTTAAATATAAGATCTGACTATGAATACCCTTATTTGCCTAATTAAATTGTGTAAATGCATATTTTACC